GGCGGGAGCGGCCGCTCCCGCCCGGCCCCCGGGCCCCACCGTCCCCCTCTCCGGAGCCGCCGGAGCTTTTGTTTTCCCCTTCTTTAAACTGCCTCCTGCACCCCCAGGGCAAGACGTTCTTCCTCTCCTCTTCCCTCACTGAAAACTCCAGCCTCAACACCTGGGGGGTGAAGCAATTAACTGATTGGGGCGGGAGGGGGGAGGGAGGGAGATTGAACGCAGCTGTGTTAATAGTTTCACCTGATCAGTTCTGTGTTCTTCAGGAATAAAAGGTCATACAGGTTAAGAGGGCTGCCAAGTAAACCTCCAGCAGTTCTCCATGCCCATCCTCATCCTCAGCTCCAATTCCTGCTCCCAGCAGTGGGGAACAGAGAACAGCCCCAAGTGCAGCCCCCAGGGTTTAAAGGAAAAACAGCAGTTTGATCAAAACAAGTGTTTTCTCAAACTAGTCACCCGACTTGAAATCCTAAACAGTGTTCTTACATAGCTGGAAGCATTCAAAACATTAAGAAGTAAGAACAGATAAAGTAACATCTTAAAGAAAAAACTTTTAATGTAATACTATAACCCATACATGGACTGGTTTTTTTAAAAAAAAAAAAAAAAAAGAAAGAAAAGAAAAAATTAGAATGCAATGCAACCTTAAAGTGTATTCCACCATGACTTTTATCTAACCATCTTTCCTGGAATCTGAAATTTTAGTCAGTACTGATGACGGATGGGCACATAAAGTGAAGAAAGATTAATTGAATGGAGTGAAGGGCGGAAGAAGAGAATATTTCTCAAGATTGTTTCCTCCCACAGTACAAATTTAACAAGTGTTTTCAAGTTTAGTTTAATTAAGCTATAATTACCTTCTGTGGAAGTGTTGGTGAGAAGACCGCTGCACAGCTGGAATAACATAGCAAGTATAATTACTCACCACCCCAATTAAAAAAAAAAGTCTTTTGAGATGTTTCTACCAATAGCAAGAACAGTTTAAGTATTATTAAGCAGTATTTTAGCAGGTTTTTTTAATATCTATCTGTTACCTGATTGGTAAAAAGAAAAAAGCTACAGCAGGACAAGAACCATACATCAACTAACATTGCTAGCATTGCATTTCCCTTACTTAAAAAGCTACACTGAACACAGAATACCATGCATATACAGATATTACCAACTACTTTGAAATAACTGCTCTTCAGTATGAGGGAATTACCAGCTTACCCTAAAAAAGTTTTTCTTCTAGCTAAAGAAATGCTATAAAAAATGAAACGAAAAAGTCGAATATGTTGGCTTTATCAATACAGATGGAAGAAGTGTGTCAACTATAGCGTTCGCTCTGGAATCGTGGGGCATAGTTTCTGGCACTTTCATTCTCCTGCGTTGTGATTAAGTCTATAATAGCTGTCAGTACTGCTGTATCCCTGGATTTAATATCATTCCAGTTCACAGGATGTGGGTTTTCTATTTTCTCTTGTAGAAGATCATCGAGCTCTTGTCTTAAATTCTGCAAAGAATTTGTTGGAATTAACAAAAAAAAGAAAAAAGAGACAGGCAATTAGAGCCACACACAACGGCATTACTGCAGCAAGTTCAAATCCCTTGGGCCCTCTGTTCACCTAATCTTTACACCTGCTGTTCTCCCATCAATTGATTTCAGCACTGCTA